ATATGTAGTAATTAACGTAATTAATAATAATTATTATATTTCTCGACTAAATGCAATAATAAATTTTTTTATAGTGAATGAAGCAATGATTTAACGTATCTCTGGCATAAATCAGGAAAAAAACGCCGAATTTAGATAAAACGCAGCAAAGCGATTTCGAATGATTGATCTGAAATACGTCGACGCGAGAAAAAACCGAATTACACGGTACGTTAAGGATGTCCTGCGAGCACATCAATCTGGATCTGGCTCCATAAGACTCGGATCGCACGGATCCCCTCTTGTGCAATTGCACCGGGGACGCAATGACTCACGCGTTTTATTGTGTCGCCTTGCCGCCTACCAAAATCAATAGAAGTGACATCACGCGTAATTATCGGCGGTTAAAATAGCGCAAGCTGATTCAGCCGATCGTAATAAGACACACGTGGGCGTTACATGCCGCTTTCTGTTAGCAGTCATTATCTTCCTTCGCAAACGAAGTAGAAGACCAGTAGTTAATAACTAATAATAGCTATGACAAACCGAGTCTATATCACCGGCTATTTTGGGCTCCGCGCAATTTCCATCGATCAAATAAAGATATTACATCACGGATTTTTTCCTTTTATAGATTAAAAGTCATTCAATTAGTGTGCGGAATAAAAACGTGTCGAAGGAATTCAGCGCAATTTTAGAGATTATTCAGAGTGGAACCTATTTGTGATCAAGGCGCGCGCCTTTGCATTTCGATTGCACGCCTCTGCATTTCGATGAATTCGATTAATGAGCACATCCGTTCGTCGCGTCGTCCGTGTTCGGGAACTGGGAAAGAGACCGACGAGCCGCTGGAGTCTGGGCTTGGAGCGGCGCCAACTCCAGAACCATACATACGAAGGATTTGACGGATCTCCCAAGTTCCCGAGCAACTTTCCGCACTGCGGGGATTGCGGGGATGAATCGAGGGTGGGATACACCCCCTCGTGGGATGGGTGTATAAGGATGACGACGTTGATAACCAGAACGCCAGACAGCGACACGAAGAAGAGGAATTTCTTACTCTCGGCGCCCCGATGTTTGCGTTTCTGATTGGCTAACACGATTCACCCACATCGCGTCCCCTTCTCCCTTCTCTTTATCTTCTTTTCTTCTAATTCTATCCACATCGTCCGTTCTTCCCTTCCGTTCCCGCCTCGTCAAATCGGTCATTATATAAAGGAGATAACGCTTAAGATCTTCCACTTCGCCCTTCATTTGCCGACCTAATGACGCAATTATTCCTTATCCCGTGGATCCACATCCGACGCTGCACGAGGATGATAGCACGTGAAAAACAGTTTCCGAAATGATAAATAATTAGGTTCATTTTTCTACTGTATCATGATAAATGCAGACCGCCGAGAATTTCAGACCGACGATGACTATTCTTCTATCAGCGCCGCAAAAATAACGTTTCACACTACTGAATCTACATCGCCAAATAGAATTGCGAGTTATCCGCCGCATCGAAACTCACGAAGCATATCGCGATCCCCACGGACGGCGTGCAAAACCTTTTCAATTCATCCGTCGATTACAGACAAGAACGTAATAAAACGAGAAAAGAGAGCATCGTGCACAGGAACGTAGTTTTCGAGAGGCAATGCGGATTTTTTAACGCTTGAGCGCTCAAAAGTCGGACCGCGAATGAATTTAGGGAGGCTCAGTAGCAAGCCGCGAAACGCGCGCCGGAGAGGCATCGCGCACAAAAGGAGGGAACATGTTAAAACGAAAAGTCATGAGGAGGTGAGAGTGGTATTTCCGAAATGCAAGGGTGCTTCCGCGTGCCAAGGGTGCGAGAGCTGGCTGTAACATTCGTGTTATATACGCGGTTGTGTGAACGTGCGTATATTTTTTCTCGCCGTTCCGCCCTCTTTGTCCTGGAACGCGGACCCACACACTATAAATATGTCCCCGCGCTAGGCTAGGCGAGGACCGTGCTATTCCCATGGCGCAAGCCTACGCCATCGGTGCGTAAAGGATCTGACATGTATAGAGCGTGCCAGGATCACCCTACGTCTTCCTAGCCGCAGCTTCTTTTTCGCGAAACAATTTTTCCCGAGTGAAAATATCAATGCCAGCTATCATTTATCGTATTTTAATTTGACATTATATATATATATATTGCAACGAAATTAATTAAACTAAAATTAAAATTCTATTGATAAAATTCATTTCAAATTACTCAAGCTCAAGAGAGAATATAAATTTTATCGTTTATTGTGTTTCAGAAGCTTATCAAAGCTTTATATTTTCAATTATCTTGACTTTTTTGTTGTCAAAACATTAATTTTAAATTGACTAAAAAATATATAAAAAGATTGTAATTTTAGGACACGTTATATCATTGAAGCCTGTAGCGCATTTCGTATCGCCGCGGCATAACAACAGTTTGGGTCATTTTATAGTGTTTAAATCGACGGTGAGCGTATTTACGCTTCGCGATGTCGTAAACGAAACTTCAATATCGATATTAATGTCGCATGCGATTGCGCAATAGAACGTTTATGACGTTATAAGCAAAAAGTATATCGGCAACATCCTAACATTCTATAATTCAATCTGATGACATATATCGAGCGATTGCGTTAAATTGCATAAAAATCAATTCTTTATTAATATAAAGCGATCTTTCAATACATAAAATTTGTTCTATTTTTTAAAATAAAAAATGTGAATAATATAAAAAATTGTTGCCAATACAAAAATTCTATGTTCTTTCAGTTTCGCGTAACGACAACAACTCTGTCTTGCAAAAGTTTCTCCGTAAGAAAAGTCGTGCTTGTACTCAGAAACACATTAGTAAATTGTGTTTGTTACCGTCGGCAGTTGATATCATTGTAAGGAAGATATATGTAATGCTATTTCACCCGTCAGTACTGTGGTTCCAATGAACTAGGACTGTATCTGTATGTGTGTGACCGCGATATGCGCAATTATCGAACTATTCATGCGGAAATAATATGTCTCAATAGCTTCTATGGTAACGGTGTGTCAAATTTGCGTGAGGCAAATTAATTTAATGCATCTATATGCATAGTGCAAATGTAAATGTCGGAATTACCGGAGAATAAGATTACCGGAGAATAAGATTTTATATCTACTTTGAAGCATTTCGAGTTAGTGGATAAGCTACAATGTGCGAGCGCGTATCGACTATTACTTGATAGGGATTAGAGTTACTTGCGAAATAGAACATGCTGGTAGTTGGTAGAGTGCAACCCTGAATGCAGAAAGTTTTGTCCGACGCAAGCGGCCCACACAACAAGCACGCGTGTATACCGGAAGAATTCACATATGTATTTCCGTAGGAGTTTACACGATGGACACATAGCATCCCTGATATTTAAATGTTCTCTAGCATTGACGTTGTTGTTTAAAAATAACTAATAACATTTGTCGCAGCCTGCAGCTCCATAACGCAATAAGAGCAGTTTAAAATAAATAATAAATCATAAAAAATCTAAAGTAATATGTAACATTTTTGCATATAAATTTATTATAAAATGTAAATAAACGTGTAACGCTATTTCGCCATATTGCTTTATTCTGATTTTAGCAAAAAGAAGTGTTTCTGTTTTTTTTTTGAAGATAAAAATAATGTTTAACAATTTAAATATTACATTATTTATCGTTATTGATCGATTTAATGATATTTGAAATTGAGATACTATTTGTATCGTAGAATATAAATAATCATTTTACAAAGCGGTATTATTGGAGCACATGCATGCACACAGAAAGAGTACGAGAGCTTTAAATTTCGTTTCAAAGCATTTTCACAAGAAATACCGGCAATTCGCTCATAACGCGGAATATATATATGCTAAAGACTATAAACGCGGCACTTTTGTCGCAGTTTGTTGCCAGCGTGCAGCATCCCCGAAAGTCGTCAGGCTTTAAAGTTGCTCATGCAAGCGCGAAACAACGATGTGTTATAGCGTGCAGTTGAACCCTCTCGGATCGTTGTCCTATATATTCATACAAACTCATATATCCCATTGATATTTCGCTCCGTTGAAACGCGGCCAGCAGCCTGGGATGCACCGTGCTGACACGGCAATGCAATTATCCCCTCGAGATCGAAGTCTACTCAACGTTCATTCGCGTACGCTGCTTTACCAGTCGTTGACAATGTTTTCGAAAATAAAAATTGCCCGACCTTGTGTCACCCCACGCTTTTAAGCTGTGTAAATTGCAGTGTTATGTAATAGTGGGATTCAGCGATTTCAGATACGAAAGAGATGAAATAAATCAGTAATCTAATAATCTAATAATATTTTTTCTGTCACACGGTAAATTAAAAAATAATCACAACAGATTTATATATTGAAAAAAATATATATCTTTACGAAAATTTACTGATTAAGGCAAAGATTTGGGGCACTATTCGAAGATTATCAAACTACACAGTTGTTTATCAATAGAATCACAAAGTGAAAGCTTAGTATTATGACAGAAACAAGGTTTAAAACAGATTTACTTTTATGTTTCACGGGAATACTATTAATTTAACGGGAATAAGACACTCAGCGAAGATAAAAAAAATCTACTCCGACACAACCGCATCAACCAAAGGATCTACCCACGTGTTCACGAATATATCTATCACTGCAGGCACTATATTACGCCGCATCTCGAGACAGAGAGTATAAATCTTTAAGAAGAATCTGCAATCCTTTTACCAGGAATAAATCATCAAAGAAGATGTATCTCGCGGTATATAATCTCATCCGTCAGCATCACAGCTAGCTCACAATTCAGAAAATTCCGCGTCCACCGCTGGGAGTTGAACGAACTTGAGTCACGGGCAAGAGATGACAGACGGATCAGATACGGAAGGCGAACGTATGTTTACACCGATAGCTCGACGTAGAACGGACGTGTGTACGTGCGGCCACGAAACGTCGTCGTCGCGCCGTCAGCTCGGTCCAGGAATACAGAGGAGCACGTTGAACGGAAGGCGGCTAGAATGGACTCACCTATATGCCGGGATGCTGCAGCAGGACTCAGGCTCCGGGGCTCGCGGCCGGCGCAGACCGGATAGCACGGCGTGAATGTTAAGCACAGATGCAATATCTCCGATGACGCGGCTACGCCGCTCGAGTGGTCGGTGTGGACTGCAGAAAAGCCCGCAGATGATATCAGAGACTTAGGGGAGTACTGCATGACATCATCACCGGCCAATCCGCGCGTGCCTACCGGGGCGCACGCGCCTTCTCCGGCCGCCGGGGATGCTTGCGATATATCGCAATCGATTGCATCCCCGACTTCGCGCCCCCGACGACGGAGCTCTCTGTCGGCGAGGCTTCATCCCCGGGCTTTGAAATGTGGCGCCAAGTCCGCAGCTTTGCGATACGGGGTAGTTTTTTTCTACGCATTCTTCTTCAGTCCGTCGATTTTACTTGATTGTCAGAATTTTGTATCAATTCCATATGTTGACTTCTTTTAGTTTAGCTTTCGAATTTATTAATCTTTTCTCATTTGAAATCTTATTATCGTCAGTGATCGCAACTTTCTAATTTCGGTCAATATTTCTAACGATTCTAACAATTTTTGCTAACGAGCTACAAATAAAAAATAACGCTAATATATAAACTTTAGATAAAATAACTGATTTATCAGTTTGATACTTGGCAAGAACAGACGGCGCTACATACTATAGATATCTCTTACCACACCAAGACGTAACACGGATAGATAAAAGTTGGCTGATATCAAGTCAAACATACGACCATATAAATCTTACCCGAGCAACGCTCGATAAAAGCGTTTTGCGTACATCGCAATGTTCCTCGCCGGGTCTCTTGCGTAGACAACAGGTAAGCTTCTTTGTCACCTACCGTTGCCGCGGCAAGCTGCACTGAAATATGTAAAATTATTCCCGGATATTCGTGATGCCGAGATCGGCTTACCTAGTGCTGTTTTCGAAGCATCGGGATATCGTATTCCTCAGGCACTCACGAATATCTCTTCTCGCTCCCAACCCACTGTTACAAGCTTGTGACGCAAATATGCGCAACCGGCTACAGGTGCGAATAAGGTTCGTGAAGGATCATTATCATACTCGTGAATACAAAAGTCTCCTTTGTGAAGCGCGAAATCGCCGGGCGAGAAAGCGGGTCGAGCGCCAACAGCTTCCAAAGAATGCTGCAGAACGGCAGCGCGCAAACGTACTTAATTTTCTGAGAAAAAGTTTCAAGCTTTTAGTTCGTCGACTGTCTGTGATTTAACAGCGGAAAATTCCGCTTCTCGTTTTTTATTCTGAAATAGAGGAAATCTGGAAAATAGATATTGTAAATGTTATTTCTAACCATATAGAAAACAATATTGCAAGGTTTTCTATTTCTTCTATTTATTCTACTTTCTATTTATTTTCTCAAAGTAATACACGGCGTTTGACAGTTTTACAGAAACATCCATCAATCTCAAAAAAGCTCGCTCCCCCATAAAATGGTAAGATCAGGATCTTTCTGAATTGATTTTACGTTTCGTGACTTTGCTTTCGGATGTGGGTGGGATATGTGCTTCGCGTGCTTACAAAGCTACAAGCGATACACGTGTGTCTACACATGTTGGAAGTTTGTTCCCTTCGAACGCGCGCTCGCGAAGATGGTATGAGGAATGGCCGAATTATGCGACATATTGCACGATTCGAATCCGCCCTCTCGAACATAGGCGGATATTCGGGAAGAAAAAGCGGTGTTTATAAGGGAGGGGAATTGTTTCAAATTTCATTTGACTGATTGCGCGCTGCTTTGCGCTGGAAAGGTATATTGTATAAATAAACAGTATCTGTATAAAAAAATTGAAAGATTCAATTCGATCGTAAAGCGATCAGTCACCGAAAGATGTTTGCAGACATATAAAAAAAATTAATTCAATTGCAGTAATTTACTTTGACCGATTACGGCTTATCTCCGTTTCAAGAACTTGATAATTTCCTCGTGTAAAAACCTAACGGGATCAAATTGCGGCCGAACGATGGGATTTCGAGAGAGATCGATCGTATTCTGCACGTAAGCTGGAAATATGTTCGAATCAATCACAAAGCCAGCCGCGAGATTAAGCCTCGCAACGACCGTTTCGCCTTCCTTTATTGATCAACGATGCTTTACCGCTCGCTGAAATTCGCTGCACGGCCTTTTGGGACGAACGATTGGAGATTACGAGGCTAATGTGCGGATAGCTAACACCGTGGAGGGCGTTATACAAAAGATAAATCAGCAATTTTAGGAGCCGCTACCGCCGCAAAGCAGGGATTGAATGTAATTACCGGTAAACCCAAATATCGATGCTAGAGGAAATATTACTATCGATAATAATATTTATGTCGACATTCATGTTGTAAAACTCAAATAAAAACCTTTAAAGAAACGCTGAAAAAAAACTGCGAGATCTCCATCGGCCCTGACACTTAACCTACTTTTTCTAAATAACGACGGTGCTTTTCATCAACATAACGAGCTATCTCGAAGCTGATTGCATCATAAATATCGCGTCGCGATACATTCAGGGCGAATGATGCGCGCGACATCCGCGCGAAGGAGAATGAAATCGTGCGAATATCGCGCGAGCGAGATTTTCCGGAAAAATTTGATGGCGCAATATCGTCGCGAAAAGGGCAGTAAGAATAAATTGACGTCTTGAAAGAGGCTCAAGGTGCTTGAATACTGAGCCGTCGCGAGCTTATTTCGCCCCGTTTCTCGGTACGTATCTGTACTCCCTCAATACTTCGTTCTCCCTTGCTCAAAAAGAGGGTGAATTGAGTGGCACAAAGGAAATTTATTAAATACTTCTCTCACATCGTCGCGTGATTTTTCTCTCTTCTCTCATTACTTCGTTCTCTATTAATGTCCAAAAGCAAGTGCTAATAAGCAAATTAAAAAAAAAATGATCAAGGAATATCGGTAGACTTATTCAACCTGTTTTTTTTTTCAATAGTAATTTTTGTGAGAATTGTAAAAGTATTAAGAAAGTTCTTGTTGCAAATAACTGAAGTCGCTGTAATGGAACGTTGAATGTTGTATTCAATTTGAGATTCCTCGTAGTCGCCATGCCATCATTGCGATCCAACGCGTGTTTCCATCTCGCAGATTTACATAAGTGACTTATGGTCAGTGAGTATTACCCTCACGGCAGACAGGGTCGTTCAGTCGTATCTTTGATGCGACGCTCGCGCGCGTGGGGATTTAAATGAGGGACGGTCGTTACGAGACCCGGTGTGGAATATCATACGAAAGTATCTGGTTTCGTCATTCGCGGATATTCGCGTGTGATGTTTGCGAAAAAAGCAATCTAATTTTCTCTGTTTTTTCGAACGACTTTTAGTACTCACTTTCTATTATCAAAACAATAGTGACTATGCGTTCATTAATATTATATTGATTAAATATATGTGATTAATATTTTATTAAAATTTTTTTTATTTTTTTGTTCTCTCTTCCAATATTAACGGTTTTAATGATCAAAATTTAATTTTATAAAAAAAATGTAACGTTTAAAAATTTAATAATAGGCAGATAAAACTGCATTATCGCAACAAAATACGTACCGTCGATAATTGTCGATGTTACGTAACCATTCAGTTAATTAATTCGAACAATACTTCTCTAAAGGCCGTAATTTTGCGGCCACCGCAAAATTGTATTCATTTAATGCAGAAAATCCATTTCCCTTCTAATATCGATGTCCTCCTCATATTGCTCTACTACACCTCACCGTTCGCAAATTAAATTAATGCTGTAGAGATAACGTCCCCAGGTTCACCGTGTTCAAGATTAAATAATGCTGTACCAGCGGAATTTTTACAAAGATATATGGTGATGCGGGATATGATCGTAGATTTAATTTAAAGATTATGAATCGCCGGAAACGCGTAATGCGATATGCGGCATGTACGCGATGCGTTCATGATTACGTTCACGCACGTTACCGATTTTTCATGTATAATTAGCTGTCGCTGCTTAACGAGCACGTGATACTACTCGAAATGGAGATCCATCGTGCGTATATAGTCCGTCTGGCAGCAAGAGGGTACCGCGACTCTTCGTACACATCTATATATGGTGTCTCAGATTTCTCTCTCAACTCATCTACGGATTCTTTGAATAATTTGAAGTCGATTTTTTTCCGATGGAAAACGGGCGATATCGCGTTTCAGTCGGAGAAAACATCGATTCTCTAATTTACTCGGCGAATCCGTATGTGAAAAAAAAAAGTACGAAAAATCTCTGCGACACTGTGTACATTACACACAGGCCGTATGAATAATCGTTAATTAATTCCAGACACGACGCGAGCAAAACGACCCGCCGGCGGAAAAGCACGCCCGCCTTATATTTCCAATTTTTCACGCGCATATGTACGAGCATAATAAATACCGGCGGCGGTTACCTTTCGGTGATGCGAAGTGCATAGCAACGAGAAACAAGCATTTTTTTTGTCCCTTCCCGGCGTATTGTCCCAAACGGGCGCGAGCGTTTTATCTCGCGCGGCATAACGTGGAAACGGTTCTCTATCATGAGTGAAACATTTTATCAGATAAAGTCGCGCTATCGGTCTCGGCAGATAAGGGAACGGTGACAGGCCCGACGATGACACACAGTGCCCGTACTTTCGGAAGTGTACGTATCGCTCCAGCAATTTTTTTCGCTCCCCATCGCGTAATTCTTGCTTCTATCGTCGTCTCTTTTTCGTCTGAAAGATAACTAAATAAAGTAAGTTTTTCCATTTTTAATCTACCGTGATCTAATTATTAGCATCAAATAATATTAATAGATAAATCGTTGATTATCTAATAAACGTTATTATGGAAAAAAAAATCGGTAATATAAAGTTATTAGTCTGATCGAATTAAATTCACAATTTATAAAATATTCGGTTTTCAATACGATTGAATATTCGATAATAAAATTTAATGTATTGCGCACAATTAAAACACGATAATACGTGTGCGTGAATGCGGGTTAAATGGCGGCAACAGTGTTTTCCTCGTGATCGTTATCGGGTCAAAATTCAAGACCAGCGCGCACTTGATCAAATAATCGCAGGCCGTATCTGAGCGAACATACTCGCGCTCGCATCCGTCCTAATCCTATTTGCACTTTAGCCGCGTTCCTTTTTCGCCTTCTTAAGTCCTCCATTATTCTATATTGAATTGCACATAAATCTTCATAGCAAAAGAGCAACTCGGACCGCCGCGTATCCACCTGCGAAGCCGAAGAGTACGAAGTAATTTCTCTTCATCTCCCCGCGTAGGAGCGGAGCGAGTGGCGGCTTTTCTCCCGACTTGCACTCCGCTCAAGTATATTCGTCTCAATCTCGGCCCGAAAGACCGGGTAACAAGGACACCCGAAGGACCAGTACTAAATAACCGTCCTTGCCGATAGATCATGGACACGCTGTATCCGAATCTGTACGAGCGTTTCAAGACCGAGGGCCTCTGTCCCGTCTGCCTCGTGGAAATGGAGCTCATGCCCAGGTACTCATGCGTCAACGGACACACCATGTGTCATCGCTGCAAGCCTTACTACTACGGCTGCCCGACTTGTATGGCGCCGTTGGACATCGAGATTCAGCCGCCACCGCAGACGGACGCGCCATCGCAGATACATTTCAACGCGCATTCCTCCATGCCACACGTACGCACCTACATTCCCAGCGCACCGTCCATGAACGACTTCCTGGATCGCGAAAAGAGGGCCTGGGAGTCGTCGTCGGACAATCAACAGCTCGAGCCGTGCACGTATTCTCATCTGGGATGCTGGGTGAAGCTGCCGGAACATCTGCGGACTCTTCACGAGTCGAGGTAAAGTCAGAAGATTCAAGAGTTTTTTTTATTTTAAAATTTATGAGGAAGTAGGCTTTTTGATACGTACAGTTTCGAGATCATTTTTATCGTTGATTCGTCTATTAATCGCGCGCGGAAAGCCGCGTGTTCAGCGTTATTAATGTCAGAATTATAATTCGAGATGCCAGTTTCGGCCGCACTTGGAGGAGGAGCGCATGCCGACCGATCTCCATCACAGTCACGATGATTTGGTGGAGTGCTCGTATTCCGCGGTAGGCTGCAAGGTACGAATGATGCCGTGGAGACGTAGCATTCACGAAAAGTTTTGCAATTACCGGGACAAGTTCGAAAGCGTGAACGCCATCGGCGACGCATTCGCGTCCGTGACGATCGGCGATAACGATTACGGCGGCGATCCCGAAGAATTGGTGCAGTGCAAGTTCCGGCGATACGGCTGCACGGTGAGCATGCCAAGGAGGCGGAAATACATTCACGAGCAGAAGTGCAACTACAAGAGCCATCAGGCGGACGATGGGTTTTTCCCTTATCCCTCGGAGCCGGAATTGGATCCCGAGGAGCAAGTGGAATGCAGATGGTCCGAGCACGGCTGTCGGGTCCGGCCGAAGCGTTACCGCAAGCAAATTCACGAGGATAAGTGTAATTACAGAATGGTGGAGTGCACGTACAGGGATTACGGATGTAATGCTATATTTACGCCAGCGAGGAAATACGCTCATGAGGGCAACTGCGAATTCGCCAATTAAGCTAACGTTATCAATTAGTAAAGTAATTCTTGCGCGTGGAAATTCAGAGAATATGTGTATATTTTATTATGTTTTACGGAACGCGCCGGTGGAAAGCACGCACTCTCCTATTCTTCCGTTGCGACAAACTTGCAACTAAATCGATGCTAACGAGTAATTAACCGATAAATCGGACAGATTTATAGCAATTTTATTAACTGTTTCATTAACAAGCTGTGTGCGCAAGCCGGATTTGTCGAGATAACAATAATTAACAACAACAAAGCGGATTCAAGCTCGGCGTACCAAGACGCAGGACGATTTTACAAAAGCCATTAACAGCAATTTCCAAGAATCCATGGGATAATACGAAAGGAGGATTATTTACTCTCTCTCTCTCTCTCTCTCTCTCCGCGTCTCTCTCGTTATTCTCCATCCCATTCTCGCGCGAGATAGTGAGACTTGCGCCTGTCGTTCGGGGGATCATCTTGAGCATGATCGCCCGGAATGAGGGAGTGATGGCGTGGCTGGGATATCCAACACCTGCAGGCTAATGGCAGGCCTCCCCGTGCGCTCACGATCACTCGACGAAACGACACCTACACGATTATAGCGACCATTTATAACGTCGGCGCGTGCAAAGGATGGGAACGGCTTGATACGCGATTATCCTGATGATATCCCGGCGTCTCGAAGTGTTAGTCTCGAAGTCAATAAAACAAGTTGATCAAGCCGAGCAATTCGCAATTTCTAAAGAAATTATAATTTTGTATATATCTAATTTGTGGTATTTTAATGGTTTTAATCAACGGGCATTTATGGTAACCTATTAAGTTAAATTATTAATTTAGATGTTAAAAAAGGAATTATAATTTTGTAAATATCTAACTTGTGATTTTTAGCGATTTTAATCAACGACATTTGTGATAAATTGTTAAATTTAAACAAGCATTTAATATTAAATTATTATAAATGCATTTAATATTGAATTATTTTAAATGCAGAATAATTTTTCACTGCGGTATTATTACTCTTACGGCGATAAATTTGATAATATAAAATAACGTTTATTCAATATGCTGCGTGCAAGATATTGAAAAATCAGCAATGTTCAAAGCCTGCAAATAAAGGGCGCAAACGAAGGCTGAAATCTATTTCTTGTGCCATGAAAATCTGAGATATTCCCATGGGAGAAGGCGTACATCATCGTCCCTACTAAATAAATATCGAATGGACCGTGTCGCGTAAAACTCTTGTCCGTCTACTGCGCAAGCGGTCCATCATCCCGACTGGTCAGAACTTTAACGTTTGGCGGTGGCCCCGACTGATGGACAAAGGGGTGCAGGAACTGTTTTACATAGTAAAGACCAAGAAGGACTTCTACCTCTGACCAATGGATGTCTTAAAGAGGATACTGCACCATAGTCTTGTATAAAGAGAGAGAATACCATTCCAGTTTATATCCGGAAACAATCAGAGTAACTCTTATTCAACGCAATGTCAACCCCTCGATCGCTACCCTTTACCTCCTCTAATTGCGTTTCGGATTAATCGCTGATTTTTAATTAGCCGAGTCACAAAGAGATTGTTTTTCTTAAAGAAGATATTCCATTCTGAGTTATCTCTTTCTTGAAATATCTACCGCTATCTGATTCATGCACATAAATTTATTTCAAAAACGCATATTATAAAAATTTTATATGTGATGCTATGCGTGCCTTGGGTTTTATTTGTCAGCATATAAAGCAACGCGTGCAATCTCGTTGTTTTTATGATGCACAATATGGTGAAATTGACGAAGCACGTTAAATCCGACGTATAATAAAAAAAATGTCTGCTTTCTCCATAAATCACAAAAACATAACACCACATTAATATACATATTCGTTATTTCCATGTAAAACAGCAACGTGAGAGAAAAAGTTGATAACGGATAAGGGGTCGATTATCGAGTGGGAGTTAATAGCTTTTTTTCTTCATTAAAATCTTTCTTGCATAAATTAATAAGCCGATCAGCTTTAGATGATGAAAGGTAAGAAAGCGGCCGCTCGTCGTATTTAAGAAGCTCGTTGGTAGGCAGAACAGATATAGACACGACGAGCTAAAACCTTGCCGTTGTATGGGGCTGAGCGAAGGGATGGAAGGAGTAGATACGAGTAAATTGCACCCCTGGGGACAAGACTGACGAGTGGCGTGAAGGACGCAACAAGCCAGAAGTCAGGCAACTTTAATTAAGACAGCGTGCAGACTAGATGTAGACACAGGACTTTATATAAGAAACTCGGGCTCGTGAAATTTTTCTTTGTTACCTGCAAATTGCCAGGCACGTTAGATTATCAGAATTAGCGATCTCTTGTTTACATATAAGTTTTTTTTTTATTAATTTGGAATAGATTTCTCCTCGAGAAAAATGTTGAGGGGTCAAATACTTTTATAATTAGTTCTTAAATATTATACATTTATACAAGTAAAATTTTCTCGAAACTTAATGAAAAAATATAATTATATTTTAGTATTTCTTTGACACGCACTTGGCTTAGCTTTTGAAAAAAAAACTTATTCAACTGTTAATTTCAAAACTAATGGTCCCGCAATGTTCTTTTTAAAGAAAAACAGACTTTACAATAACCAAAGAAAAATCCGCAAATAAATAGAGGCTTCGTTGATCCGGAACATCTGCTGTGCTACCGCGGCAATAAGAGAACACCGATAGCGATTTCGTGACCAGCAGCGTCTCTGCTAGCACGTCTACGGCCGTTGATCATCGGCGTCCAGCGTATACTCTCGTAAAACGTACCAATCCGATACCGAAGGTTTAGGAAGGCCGTGTTCCCACGTAAATACCTCACGCCAAAAATGACGGCGTCCGCATCTCTCGACGTGCCCGTGTATCGCGCGGCACGCGAACACCATAATTCACGTTAGCGTTGCTCGCCAATCGCTAGGGAGAAACCCACCGAACGATCGTATCTCAATTTCGTCAGGATATAACTATCCGGAACGTCAAATGTAACGAACAAATCCGCGTAACCGTTTCTGATCGGAGCATCTGATCGCGCGGCACGTACGCGATTATCGTCGTCGGACGGGACGCGGTTGCCATCGATGCGAGAGAACTCGGGAGATAAAGATTTACGGCGAACAAACATCCGTCATATCGAGACGGAAATCCGGTATTGGTCTCGGCGCATCGGGACACTGTATTCAAGAGATATCGCTTATGTAACGCTGAGGGTATAATTCACCGAGATAATATTAGCACTTTATCTACGACTAATAAATCGAATACGATAAGAAGCTATATGAGGCGACTTTAAAGTCAGCACGAATACTGCATTATTTTTTGTCATAATTAGAATTATTGTCGATGAAATTAATTTTGCTTTAAAAAGATTATTTTTTATATCGAAATTTTGAAGATAAACAGCATCGTGTACTCTACAACTTTCTCGCGAAGCAATCACACAAGTAACGATCGAGATAAGCCTTCCACAACACTCTCCAACCTGTAATTAACGCCGTGATATCTAATTTCGACGCACGTTCCCGGGAGAAGCGATTTCTGCCGTGGCGACAAAGTTTTCTGCGCGCCAAATTAAAATTCTTAATACAACCCTTTCGAGCAGGGAAGGAGTTCGAATGCGGGAGTGCATTCATGATGGCGGAAGGACCTGCCGAAGGAGAGGTACGTCTCGAGGAAAAAGCGAATTTAATGAAACGAGAAAAACCCCGGTGAAGGTGTATTTGTAATGCAAATACCGGGACCAGCGTTTCCCAGAGGGACGAAAAATGAAAGGCTCGAAACAGGCGGGAACGAAATCGAGCGTCCCATCGCTCTCGCTAATCCGATTCCGAATTCTTCGCCGTCCACCCGCTCGCTCGGCCGAATCACGTTCCCAGCGTTGCGCAACCTTGACAAAAAAATCCTAATTTTCTTCTTCTTAATTACCCCGGGGATTCGATAAATCCGCGGAAACCGCGATACGTTCCGAATGCTTATGGCTCAAAAATCTCGATTCGGTCTGAAAACGTCAGCGATTTTTATTGCTTATACGCGCGCGTTCGTAGAAAAAATTATTTTTACTCGTTCAGAACCATTGGTTTAGTGTTTCAAGTTAGAAGAGCACTCTTGAAGGCGAAAGAGTGGAGAACTAGTGTCGGGAGGATTGAAGGAATCATTATTTACCGAATCGACTATTGTCCTCTTTCGACGGACGCATTGTCGAATTAAGAGCTTTTGTCACGGAGAATGCCAGGGACGAGCGATGCGCTCGTCTCCGTCTCTGTCCGCCCACCGGATTCGTTCGTTCTCACCCTTTTCCCATAGTTTTGACGTGTTTCTCCCTCTCTTTCCCGCCAGTCGCGCCGGCAGTCGCCTCGCAAATGAAAGCACTTTTCCGCCGAATAGACAAAATAAATCGAGTCGCGCATGACAATGCCGATAATTTCGCAACAATACGCGCCCACCCAGCGTCGGCGCACGCACGAATAAATACGCGTTCGCAGGAAACGCGCGCGAAAAACAGACGGGATCGGTAGGGTTGCGCCTGCCGCGTTTCTTCTCCAAACAACGTGGTGACTGAATGCCAGGGTGAATCAACGCGAGATAATGCGTGCCAAGTGGCCTTTTTGCCAGCGATCGGCGTGCTTTTTTCGAGACTTTGAAAGAGAAGTTGTACTTTAAGAGAAGAGCATTCCGCTGTTTGTCTAAAAAAAATCTACAATTCATATAATTATAATTAATAATTAATAATTATAATTAATAATAATAATATCCAATAATATACGTCTTTATCCAAAGTAAATCTGATAAGTATTAAGAAACCGATTGCCGATAGATCTTGCTCGGTTGCGCCATTTGTTTACAGAAGAAAGGCGCTAACCAGGCGGAAAGGGCGATATGGTGCGATGATTTATCGATAATAATTAAAGGGTCGAACGTCACCGCCGGCTGCGTGTCGATGACCAACGGCCGGTGCGTGAGCCTCGTATTAATAGGGTGTTTTAATATCCACCGCGAACACCGCCCATCAATTCTAAAAGATCGGAACAAACATGTGAAAATTTATCAGCGATATTATGCGAACAAATTGCTAAATGTGCAATACGCGGATTCAATTAAAAGGGAGGTAACAAAGCTTGCGTTTGTAGTGTCTTTTTCTCTACAAGCACTTCGACGTTACGGCAAATTACAACGTTATTTGTCGATCCTCGTGGAACAATTGCGGAGAAATAGAGACTCTTATTTACCGGTTGGGTTTCACCGATAGTGCTCGCGCGTATGTAATCATCTCTATAGAAACGCTCGGAATCCATCTCGTCGCAAACAGTGAACCCTCCGTGACGAGCTCTCGAGTTCGCGAAAGTATCGAAAGAAGTTAGATGGGATATGGTTACGATGATGTAGAAAAAGGGGACTTTTTAATGGCGTACCCAGGTGTCGGAATCCCTATCGACGTTAAGCTGTATCTAATGCTTCTTCTTTCAGCGCGCTATCCTCCCCTACGAACGAAACAACCTTCCTTATTTCCTCGCACGCTTATCCTCGCGACTGTAATCTTCTTTCCTTAATTGTAGTGGAACGAATGTAGTAAAACAAAAAATCGTTTTTGACGCATCCTAAAGCGGCTATTTATGTGACGTAAATTGCCCATCGACATCATCCGATTTACGATTAAAAAAAAACTCATTTAATTGATTGATATTAAAATTATCAATTCAATTTTATTTTTTTAGCATACTTTATCTAATCTGTATTTATCTTTTTAGTAACCATTGTAATTATTTACGTAAAATATGATTAAAACAGTTTATTAATGTAGACACAATAAGCATTAATATGCTTTGAACGCTAAATTTCGAAAATTTAATCTACATTCTCGAAAGTATTCGCCGTGATAGCATCTCTATCTCTGCTTTTAACGCGCATCAATCTAATCCGACTCATCTCACCCAATGTTGACCTCTCCGAGATCTCCTTTACTGCCCACGAAATCCCCGGGAGCTACTACCGCCAGCGGTAAAATCCAGCGTCTCGATATCCACTTCTGAACTGCAGAAAAAAATGGGAAGCGTGAGAAGCGCGTGTGCAACATTGAGGGATAATATACGAGCGGCAGCGCGAGACTCCGTGCGCAAACTTG